CACCTGTTCCTCGAATCGACTTTCTAGTTGACAGCTTTAAGCTGTTCACGTCACGTCACGATCCAATGCCACGTCCACCCACATCTTCTACACCATGACCTACTCCTGAGTGCTATTACTTCCAAGGCCACGCCGCCCGTATTCCTTGCTTGCCCACTGTATTCGTGCCCCCTTTCGGCTCTGTGCCATTGCCATTCTGTATACTCCCTTTCTCGTCCTTCTTTCCGATCATCTTACCCCCCCCCCTCCCCAAACCAGCCTGGAGTCCTCAAGTTGCATCGTCTGAAATTAAGGGGCATCCGACGCCAACCACAAACAACGACGTAGACGACGACGACAGCAACAACAACTACAACACCTGAACCGGTGGACAGGAGACAACCGTCGATACACGAAATCACCTCCCCCGAACGTCTACAGTCTAGACTCTCACACGATGCCCCCAACACGCCCCCCGACGACGGGCTACGAACGCCTCGCCCAGGCCGATGCTCTCTCCTCCGACTCGGAAGATGAAGACCCCCTCTCTCATTCTTCTGCCACCCTCCAGCCCGCCTCGGCCCCTCGCTTCGCCCCAATAACCCAGCCGCGTCCGGGGTCCGGCATGGTCACCCCGAAAGGTACCACCGAGATCCTACGGCGCCCTCGTCACAGACGCGCCCACGTCCCCGCCGCCGCGTCGGCTCCGGCTCCGGTGTCGATCTCAAGGCCATCAACGCCCGCCTCGAGCGCTGGGCCGACGAGATCGCTTCACGCTTCAAGCGCTCCCGCGCCCATAACAAGCAGCCCGGCGAGGACGACCGCCTCGAGATCCACCACTCCGTCTTCCAGCCCCCGGAGGGCGTACGACCTCTCACTGCCGAGGGGCTCGCTGAGCCCCAGCCTGTCATGTCGCGCGCCGAGTTTGAAGAAATTGTCGGCAGTGTGCGCACCGCTATCGCTCAAGGCGTTCATCCACGCATGATATCACAGGGCAGCTCGGGGAGTTACTTTGCACGGAATCCCGATGGCAAGATTGTCGGTGTCTTCAAGCCCAAGGACGAGGAACCTTATGCTGCCGGCAATCCCAAATGGAACAAATGGATCCACCGCAACCTGTTTCCTTGCTGCTTCGGCCGCGCTTGGTATGTTTCACTAGAAGAGGGAAACGAGTAGAAGGGGAAGAAGGGAGAGTACTGACAATCTACCCGTAGCCTCATCCCCAATCTCTCATACGTCAGCGAGGCCGCCGCCTATACTCTCGACTGCCAACTCCGCACTCATATGGTCCCGTACACAGAGGTGGTTAACCTATCTTCAAAGTCGTTCCATTACCCTTTCTGGGACCGCCGCAGCTTCTCCCGCAAGAAGAAGGCCCTGCCTGAGAAGGCCGGCAGCTTCCAAGTCTTTTTGACAGGCTTCAAGGACGCGAACATTTTCCTGCGAGAGCACCCATGGCCCGACCAGTACTGTCCGGCTTCCGCACAAATGACCCCCACCGCAGAGGAGAGGCGGTGGGCTGATAACTGTCGCCCTGTGCGCGGCCGCGCTTGACGATGTCGAGAGCGACGAC